AACATATGTTTCTTTGATATTTATTCTCAAACCTCCTAGATTAATACTGCTAATTTAGGGAAAGTGCTGAAGCAAAATTACTTACTGCATTTTGTGGATATTTTTTTATCAAACTGGAAAGGCTTTTCTCTCCTTTGGCAAACATTTTAGTTATAGTTTTGCAAGTGTTTAAAGGTGCTCAAGTATTAAGGAATCAATGTATTCAGTTTGATTTAATTTTCTTCACTAGAGAAGTTGGTATCTAGCCAAATGGTTTTTTAATTTTGTGCTGTGACATCATCCCGTTCACTGAATTAATCTCCCTTTGACTGTGTTTGTTCATGGGCTTGATCCAGAAAGCTTTGGGCAACACTGCAACAACCCACTTTGGCTAGTGACCCATGATAGCCAAAGGAAATTTGTAATGTATTTTCCTTCTAGTTATACCTCAGTCATGAAATCTGTGTATATTTCCAAGACACTTAAAAAAGGGAAAATGTAGATGTTGCAGAATGAGCTGGAATGAGTGGGGTGCTCCCACTTCATGTGGTCTTATTTGTTCCGTCCCATACAGGTAGGTATCAGAATCTTTGACTTTTGTCAGGGAACTGTAAAAAGAGCCCTAATAGGTATGAAAAATTGGTTACCTAAAGCTCTTTCCTTTCTGAGATAGCTTTAGTCTCAGGAAGTGTCCTCAAGGTGAAGGCACAGAAACATGTCAGTTAAACATTTAATACCCAGGATTATCTTGCTAGGGTCAGCCTACCTGCTTTTGGTGCTCTTGCTTTGCAGTTTTTTCCCCTTTTACTGTTTTTTTCACTTGAAAATACAGCACTTGACAGCTGTCAAATGTTCACAATGTAGTATATATGTAACCTTGTTTCTTCGTCGTGGCCTCTGTGCATCACACATATGGGTGCTGCACCTGCACAGTGCCTTTGGCCGGAAGATTACAAGCTAACGGTTTATTTTGGTGGGAGAAGTTCCGCTCCCCCTTCCCCACAGCCTATAAAGAGCGGAGCGACCGCCATTTTGTTCAGTCTTTGCGACCGCCGTTCACTGTGCCTCATGCCGCTTTCGACTATCGCTTTGATCGTTACTCGTAGCCTATTTTTCCTTCCTTTTACTCCCAGTTTTATATCCTTGAAAGTTCTTGTTAGCTCTAGTTATTTCTACAGTTCTTGTTAGCTCTAGTTATTCTGCAGTTCTATCGTTCTACCGTTCTACTTTCTTCTTCCAAAAAAAAAAAAAAACCAAAAATATATTCTTACCCTCTGCACTGTCTCCCTTTTTCTTCTTCTTCTTGCGATGGCACAGTGAGCGGCCTTCCGCAAATGTGCGGAATGCAGGTCGAAGATGACGCCATCTGACCCGCACGACCTATTCCTCCTCTGCTTGGGGGAGGGGCATAGGACCGACAAGTGCTCCCACTGCCTGGCCTTCTCCAAGCAGGCCAGAAAAAATCGGAAGAACCACCTTCGGAGGCTCCTGTGGGATCGGGCTCTTATGCAATCCGACCTACTGGTCACCACTTCGAAGCCTGGCCTGGCTGCGGTGGTCCTGCCCTCCCGCCCGTCGGACGAGGGTGTCTCTACTTTGAGGGCCCCACCAGCTTCTCCCAAAAAGAAAAGCGAGAAGCGCAAGCACGCCGATGCTGACAAATCGGCCAAAAAGGCCAGGAAAGAGAAGCCTTCTAAACCGGCCCGAAAGTCAAGGGATCTGGACTGACCTCGACACTGCATCTCGGGTTCGACAGCAGCGTCGGTAGCGGCGCCAACCACCGTACCGACTCCACCCGAGCTGGCACTCCAGGCAGCCATGAGGGTCACCCCTCAAGGGTCTCCCCGTCGTGTGGCTGACCTACCGGCCGAGCCACTTCCATTTCTCCAGCAGGGGTCAATCTCTGATGGAGAAATTCAGGACTCTCCCCCCAGGGCTTGATCACCAGTGCCTATGCCCATGGCCACACTGGAGGCGGATGTGCTTGAATCCCCACCCAGGGCCCGCTGGAGTCACTCCAGGGAGCAGTGATCCGAGCAGCGATCTGAGCAATTCGAGGACTGGCGTCGCTCCTACTACCCATCTTGGGGCAAGCCATACTCGACTGGGTACTATCCCGCGCCGAGGGATCAGTCCCCATCACGCTCTCGTGATTACCCGCTGCCGCTGGATCCAAGACGCACGTCCCTGGTACCCCGGGATGAAAGCAGCCAGTCCGTTTCACCAGTGGAGTCTTCTTCTTCGGCCCCTCCGTACTACGGCGCGGACTCCAATGACTCGGACATCGATTCTACCTCTCCTGACGTTGCGGTGACCTCCCAGGGTCCCGCATCACCGGGCGAGTCGCACGTTTCTTTTGCGGAGCTGATGTCCAGGCTCATCCAATCCCTGGACATCGACGCCGTCCAGCGGCCAGGACCATCTACGGATAAGATCTATGACATCGTCCGCGGGGAGCAGTCCACCTCCATCGTCCTGCCCTTGATCACCACCCTACGGCAGGCAATGACCCAGCTCTGGGACTTGCCCTCTCACCCTCAACCAACATCGTGGAGGTACGAAGCCATGTACCAGGTTCGGGAGGAGGATATACCATTCCTCCTCCGACATCCCAAGCTGAACTCAGTCGTGGTGGAGTCCTCCCAGGGAAGAGAGGCAAGGGGTCACACCGCGCCGCGAGATAAGGAGGGCCGCAAGATCGACTCCCTGGCCAGGAGGGTCTACGCAGCTTCAGGCTTGGGGCTGCGTATCTCAAACTACAAGGCGACGTTGGCGAGATACCAGTATTTTATAATGCAACGCCTCCACAACGTCGTCTCGGCCCTCCCAGACGGACAAGGTGAATTGGCCAAAGTCTTGATTAAGGAGGCGATGCACGTCGCGGTGCAACAGTTGTCCACAGCCAGGCACCATGTGGACACTAACTCGAGGGTGTTGGTCGGTGCTGTTTCTCTTCATAGGCATGCGTGGCTGCGGAGCGCCAACTTCCCCGAAGAGACCAAGTGGCGCATCCAGGAAATGCCCTTTGACGGGTCAAGGCTTTTCCATTCAAAAATGGACCATAAACTTTAAAAACTTCATGAGTCCCGCATGACGCCCTGACGAATGGAGCTCCAGTCGCTTCCGAGGCGTAAGTGGCCATGGAACCGTCCACCCTACAGACAGCCTTATCATCCCAGGCAACAGCCTCTGCACAGGCAACAGCAGCAGCGCCGTCGACAACAGCCCCAGCAACGCTACCAGCAGGGCCGCCGCCGATATGATGACAGGAGGCAGCGTTGTTGGGACTGTCGAACCATTCCTCTACCCTATCCTGTACCCACCCCCCCTCTCATCTGGGGACCGGCTGCGAAGCCGACTCCCCATTTGGGAGTCCATCACATCTGATGGATGAGTATTATCTATCATACTGCATGGCTATAGGATAGAATTCGATACCGTTCCTCCATCAAGTCCGATTCGGTTTACATCTTGCTCACCAGTACTGCTCGATGAAATACAACAACTTCTTCATAAAGGAGCGATTCGTCAAGTAACTCAATATGACGGACTTCACGGATTCTATTCTAGATACTTTACTGTTCCCAAACGGGACGGTGGTCTACATCCGATTTTAGACTTACGTGGTCTGAATCGATTCATCGTGACAAGGAAGTTTCGAATGACCACCCTCCAAAATATTTTGCAGCTGCTTAGGAAAGAGGATTGGTTCGCCTCATTGGACTTGAAGGATGCTTATTTTCATATTGCAATCCATCCCAAATACAGACGTTTCCTTCGCTTTGCTGTTGCCTCCAATTTCTACGAATTCATGGTTTTACCTTTCGGTTTGGCTACCGCTCCAAGAGTGTTTACTAAATGCATGGCCCCTGTCTGTGCTTATCTACGCCTCCAGGGCATACAAGTTTATCCTTACCTTGACGACTGGCTCCTAGTCTCCAGGTCCAGGGAAGCGCTCCTCACTTCTATCCGTATTACCTGCGCCTTATTGGATGACCTAAGCCTTTGCATTAATACTGAGAAATCTTCTCTCCTTCCGGTACAGAAGCTTACGTTCATCGGTGCCCACTTGGATTTGAAGTTGGAAAAGGCGTTCCTCCCTCGGGACAGAAAACTGACTCTCGCTCACCTTGTTCATCGAATGCGACGAGACAGATCGGTTCTGGCGAAGTCCATCCAGAGGCTTCTAGGACATATGGCTTCCACCGTTGCAGTGGTGCCACATGCCAGACTGCGACTCCCTCCTTTGCAGCTATTTTTCAACAAAGTGTTCCACCCACAGAGGGATCCACCGTCGAAACTCTTTCGAGTCCCATCCTCGGTCCTCCATTCACTACTATGGTGGTTGATCCCAACCAATCTGACTGTTGGGGTCCCCTTCAGGTCCCGAGTCCCATTGATTACAGTCGGTACCAACGCGTCTCTTCTAGGTTGGGGAGCGATATGCTCCGGCCTGTATACTCAAGGCACGTGGACTCGTCAAGAATCCATGAATCATATCAACTTCCTGGAATTGTTGGCCGTGTTCAAAGCCCTGCACTCTTTCGAAGATGTTCTTCAACATTGGGTTGTTCAGATAATGTCGGACAACATAGCCACCGTTTTTTATCTGAACAAGCAAGGCGGGACGAAGTCTCCAACCCTGGCCAGACTTTCTATGCAGATCTGGGACTGGTGCATTTTGAGAGATATTACGATAATAGCAGTCCATCTGGCTGGTACGGACAATGTGGAAGCAGACCTTCTCAGCAGGCGCATGCTCATCTCTCACGAATGGGAACTAGACCCCCAGACACGCGACGACCTTTTCCATCGCTGGGGATTTCCCGACGTGGACTTGTTCGCCACACAACAGAACAAGGTGTGTGTGACTTTCTGTTCGAGAGTGGGAATTGGTCACGAATCCCTAGGGGATGCCTTCATGATTCCATGGAACAATCTGAATTTCTACACCTTCCCACCGATTCCTCTGGTGACGAGAGTCATAGCGAAGACTGTTTGCAATCGGGCCACAGGGATACTCATTACTCCTTGGTGGCCACGCCAACCTTGGTTACCCACACTGCTGGACATTGCTCACGGGGAATACCTACATCTTCCACCGCTCCCGTTCTTGATAACCCAGAGAGACGGCGCACTTCGCCACCCAGATATATTATCATTAAAACTAACAGCGTGGCTAATCCAATTGCTGACTTCGCTACGTCTTTACCAGTCACTACTCCAAGGGGTTCGGATCCGACCTTTGAATCCACTACTGTCCTCGTTACGTCTACACCAACAACTACTTCAAAGGGTTCGAACCCTACTTTCAAACCCAATACAGTTGCAAGCTATGAATCCGCTGGGGACGGCACTGCACCAGCACTGTCGGATCCGACTACTGTGCCATCGAATCCGACAACCTTTCATCCGGACATTCAATACATATTGGACTCCGCTTTAAAGCCTTCTACACGGAATTCTTACGAAGCTAAATGGAAGCGTTTCTCCGCCTTTGCTGACTCTCGTTCATTCTCTCCATTTACATCATCGATTCCTCAAATTCTTCAGTTCCTCCTGGAATTACACCACTCTGGACTGAAACCATCTTCGATTAAAGTATATACGGCGGCCATCGCCTATCATCGGGATATGGTGGACGGTTTGTCCATTTTCTCCCAACCTACTATTAAAAGGTTTTTGAAGGGACTTTATAATCTGAACCTGTCGATCAGACCAGTAATGCCCATGTGGAGTCTCTCTGTTGTTCTGCAGGCGCTTATGAGAGCTCCTTTCGAACCATTGGCCACAGTCGATTTACGTCTTGTCTCATGGAAGACAGCATTCCTAGTTGCGGTTACCTCAGCCAGCGAGCTCTGCGCTTTGCGCGTAGACCCACCTTATCTCAATTTTCACAGAGAAAAGTTTGTCCTGCGGCTCGATCCATCTTTTCTGCCTAAGGTATTCACACCCTTTCACATGGGGCAAGATATTATTTTACCTGCCTTTTTTTCGGCTCCGTCTACTCCACTAGAAAGGACATTACATTCACTTGACGTTCGGCCCTGTTTAGCATTCTACAGATTCAGAACTGAGTCTATCCGACGTTCACATAGACTTTTCATTAAATATGCTACCAGGGGCCAAGGCACCCCTGTCACTCCGCAGAGACTTTCTAAGTGGATAGTTCATACCATCACCTTGTCTTACCAACTGGCCAATATCGACTTGCCCACTACCCCTCGAGGCCATTCGACTAGGGCTGTGGCTGCCTCATCGGCCTTCACATCGGGAATACCGATGGACGATGTATGTAGAGCTGCTACTTGGGCGAATCCTTGCACTTTCACCAAACATTACCGCTTAGATGTCCATGCTCAACAAGATTGTTCCTTCGGCAGAGCCCTTCTTTCATCTGTTCTTCGTTGAGGACACCTTCCCTCCTCCATTATGGTAAGCTTGTTAATCTACCCATATGTGTGATGCACAGAGGCCACGATGAAGAAAAGCAAGTTGCTTACCTATAACTGATGTTCTTCGAACCCACCCGCCGGCCCCGCTCGGTGTTGGTGAGTGGACCTTTGTCGTTATTGAATGTTATCATTGTTTCTTGGTACCGATACTGTTCACAGTAGAACTCATTTACAAATCATTTTTTCCACATGAGGGTGCCTGTTCGGTCGTCAAAGACTGAAGAAAATGGCGGGCGCTCCGCTCTTTATAGGCTGTGGGGGAGGGGGAGCGGAGCTTTTCCCACCAAAATAAACCGTTAGCTTGTAATCTTCCGGCCAAAGGAACTACACAGGCGCAGCACCCATATGTGTGACTGCACAGATGGCCACTCGAAGAACATCAGTTACAGGTAAGCAACCTGCTTTTCTGGTTTGACACAAGTACACAGAATAATTGAAATAGTTAAAAAAGTTAACTATAGGACATAGTTAAAATAACCAAACACACAAAAATAAAGCAGAATTTTATCAGGACCATGTATGTTCATTTAATATTATAATTAGTTTGATGTTGAGACTTACTACTTTATGTCTTTCTTGTTTCTTTCTTCAGTTAGATACAGAAGAAGTTAATCAACTGGTCAAAGCCATTAAATGCCCAGACTGTAATGCTGATATTACATTTGAGAGAAGTCCTCAACAAATTGCTGACATAATGGAAGAAGCCAGGTTACGTCTTTTAACTGCACAAATAGTTAGTATTTTTTATTGTCTTAATCTTCTAATTTCAGTACTCAACATGATTGAGTACATACTTCAGGAAAAAACTGGTTCTTGACAACTCTTAAATTTTAAGTTGCATTCCAAATTATTTGTCCTGCACTGGGAGGTGATTTTATATTCCAAGTATGTATGTTGTGCTGTAATTTACATATATGTAGTCCTACTGACAGTCTTTACAGCATTTGTCTAAAATGTCCTGAAACTTCACATTCCTACCTTTTCTGTCTTTTTCAATAAAACAAAAATGTCTGGAGTCACTCCAGAAGACCTATAAGAATAGCTGGTTAGGGTTACTTTGTGACTTCAGGCAAAGTGTCTGCAGAAAGGGCACCAAGCATTGTTCAATTGATAATCTTGGTCTCATGTTAAAGCTAAGATTCTAAGCTAAAATCTCCAGCCTAAAGAATAAAAATCCATTGAGGTAAAGCCATGCTATGATTTTTTTTTAAGTTAGTAGATATTTACAGAGAAAAGTCAGTGAGCTTGCTATAGTTACAGTGGTACCTTGGCTCACAAACTTAATCCATTCCAGGACTCTGGTCGTGACCCAAATTGGTTGTGAGCCAAGTCAACCCGGGGGTGGGGGAGACTGGCGTGACTGTGGGCACACTTGGGGGGAGATGGGTGCGATCGTGGGTGTGCTTGGGGGGGAGACAGGTGCGATCACGGGTGCTCTGGGTGGCTGGAGATGGGCGCAATTGCAATTGTCACCCGCTGGGGAGTTCGTGACCTGAGGCAAAAATTTTCAGAAATTTCCGTTTGTGACCTGATTTGGTCGTGAACTGAGGCATTCATGAGCCAAGGTACCACTGTATTCAGATTTTCTCAGTTTGCATAGCTTCAGGAAGATTTAAAATATGAGTTATCCATGCTTGCTGAGAGATCAGGGGTGGCCAGACTTGCTCAATGGAAGAGCCACATACAGTAAATGTTTGAGAGCCCCCACAGGTGGTGGTAGGAGATGGTGGAGCAGCAGGCAGTGAGCCACAAAATAAACTCAAAGCACCGCATGTGGCTTGCAATCCTTGGTTTGGTCATCTCTGTGATAGAGCAAAGCCATGCTTATGCTGATCACAACCCCTTGAGGATTCAGGATTTTGCATTATCACCTCAGGCACTTTCTCCCAGGGTTATAAGATCACCCCAGAAATGACACACATTGGAGTCCTTTCTGAGGAGTTGAGAGAAAATCATGACTTAAAGTTAAATTCTCATGGGTGTGTGCTACAGCTGTTAAAAGCAGTGCTTTTTTTGTCATAGAACGCCCCGGAACAGAGTTCCAGAACCTTTTTTTGACAGATTTTAAAAGTAACTTTTGAAAATTTGATGTTTGGTCCATGTGGATTTGAATCGCCCTGTCGAGCATAGCAGGGCTGCGGCAAAATCATTAAAACAGTGTATGCGGGCTGCTTGTGTGTCGAATCCGATGCATGCATACTTTGTCTGTGCTGGTTGTGATGGCGCTGCTCAGCTTGTGGCACTGCTCAGCCTGTGATTGGTTGTGTGGTCATGCGCTGAGTGCTTACTGTGGGCGGCGACTGTTATATTTCGTTACACAACGATGTGTGTGGGTGTGTGTACAGTGATTGTCCACGTGTGAAAAGTAAATAATTTCATGAGTTCTGGCACCTTTTTTCTTACAAAAAAAAAGGCACTGATTAAAAGTATTAGACTAATTACTCCATAACCAAGAAGTAGTCTTTTCTTTGTTTCCTTCCTTACTCTCTTCTTAAATCTAAAATTAAGTTCATTGTGAATTTGAGGATTTGTTCTAATGTTAGGTTTTAAACATGAATCCTCTTGAAAGTATGTGAGATAAGTGCTTAGAGTGGATGTGGATCAATTATTTCCTATTTTATATATGTCTCAAAACAATTGAACATTTGGAAATCATCTGGAATTCAAGGTGACTTCGTGTCATAAAAAGATACTACTTTAGAGAACAACCTAAGTTCCTTAAATGTGCCATGATTTTTTTCAAACAGGACTACTGCAGCTGTGTATTAAATATAATAAATTGATCACAATCAGAGGAACAGAGTATGTATATATTCTGGGCTTTAACAATAAAAATAGCCGTACCATTTCCAAACTGTAGTCTCAAATCTCTTAATGTTCTCACTTTAGTAACTTTTATTCTTACTTTTCATTTCATTCTCTGAACATAAAAGTCCATTTGATAATAGGAACTATTGTGAGCAAGCTGGGGTCTGCAGCCATTTTAAAAACAAATTCTGTATTATTGCTAAACTTTTATCAGTGTTTAAAGGAGAGTGACCAACAGCAATACAGTTGACAGATATACCTCTCTTAATGCAATTTTGCCCTGTCCTGTGCTTGTATGGAATATCATGCTGTCTTTGTAGCAGTGAGAATACATGTGCAGGCTAAAATGTAGATACGGAATATTCTTCTTCATGGTCTCTGTGCATTACACATATGCTCGTGTCATTTCACGCTTCCATTCATTGGCCAAGGGAGTATTCCAGATCCTTGCTGCCAGCTGGGATTGGAAGACCTACTGGATGCCACTGGCACCATATTATTGCCACTATTGAAATGATAGAGGCCCAGTTGACCCCCAGATCATCAGCTGTGCAAGAGAGAGTCAAAGATACAAGACACTTTTTCATCATCTCCTCCTATGATCACTGGAGACAATGGGGCCTTTCATTGAAGAAGTGGTCCTGTATGGCAGGAGGCCCAATGGAACATGGGATAAATGCACAGGAATGGTGGCAGTAGCAAGTTTCAGGTAACTAGGTTAACCTGAGCAGTTATAGGAAAGGAGCCTATGAAATGGCATCTAGTATATCAGATGATATATCAGAAAACTTGATCCCCAGCCCCCAAGTTGCCACTTTTTCTGACTTGGTGTAGTACCTCCTGTAAGAGCAAACATATGGCTTAAACTTCTTGAATTAGTTGGTCCGGGGCGAGAGCAAAGGATGGCAAGAAGATGTTGAATGTGGATATTTTTTGCACCAGTGGTTATTGCTGAATGCCTTTTGCTACAGGTGGACCATATGCTATCTCCAGTTTTTCCTACCAAACTTCCTCATCTATCAAGATACAACAGGACAGAACAACTCTGTTCTTCTTAATTATCTCTATGCAACCTGCAGATTTATTTATTTATTTATTTATTTATTTATTAACACTTTTGTGTACTGTTGCAGTAGCCTCATGGCTGGATGGTGTACATATGGGCTTTGTGCCTGCATGGAGCCTGTTACCGGGAAGTTTTAATAGCTGAGAGTGTTTTTGCATGGACCCATCCTTGTGTCCATTACAAAAAGGAGACATCCCTGCCATTTCCCTCAGTTTTTCTCTGACCATTTTCAACGCCTTGTAAATTTCTTTCTCACATACTTTTTTCCTTGAGTGTTTTTTCTTCTCAAATGCTTTTTCTCAAATCTTCTCAAAATACCCATTTTTCTTCTTTTATGAGGTTCTCTCTCTCTCTTGGTCTTCTTGATGGTATTGAAGGCACCATTCCACAAATGCGGAATGCTCTGTGCTTGCTCTTCTTGAGTAAGGCGTACATAATTGACCAGTGTCCCCACTACCAGGCCTTTACAATGCAGGCTTGCAAGTGTCATGTTGACTGACTGAGGGCTGAACTTTGGAATAAAGTTCTCAAGGTGGTTGAAGTCCTGGACATGCCTGAGCCATCTCACCATGCATGACTTTGCCTTCAGTCATCTGTGACTCCATTGCCTCCCCTGACTCTGAGAAAGTCAATGAAATTCAAAAAGGTGAAGAAGTTGACAAAGAGAGCCAAAGAGGCAAAATCAGTAGAACCTTTGGGTGCCAGAACTAAGGAGTGACAAATGGACTCTTGGCTGGTACTGGCCACTTTGGAACAGATTGCCCACAAGGACATTGTGTTGGCACCAAAGCTTGATTACATTTGTGTTGCATCTGGATCCTTCTTTCCTCCTAGTTGTTTCTTCTTTTCATTTAAAGCAAGATATTGTTTTGCCAGCATTTTTTTCATTCCTAGTCATCTGGTGGAGTTTATGCTGCACACTTTGCTCATGGGAAGAGTGCTGGCATTCTACTGCTCCAGGACTGTACTCTTTCAACAGACCCCAACACTGTATGTTTATTATGGAGAACAGCATTTTTGCAAAGACTCTCAGCCTGGGTGGTGCAGACAATTTCAGCGGCCTACAAACTGTCAGGATTGCGGCTTCCAGTTTGACTGAAAGCAGATTTCGCTTGGGCAGTAGTGACTTCAATAGCACTGCATGCTGGGATTCCTCTGCCAGATCTTTGCAAGGCAGTGACCTGGTTGACCTCATTCACTTTTGCAAAGCATTACTGACTCAATGTTTACTCCAGTGCTGACTGTGTGTTTGGGAGAGCAGTCCTCTTGTTGATAATCCTTTGACGCTAACCCACCATGCAGAAATGGTAAATTCACCAGTCGCTCACATGTGTGATGTACAGAGACCACAAAAAAGAAAGGCAGGTTGCTTATCAGTAACTATTATTCTTCCAGTGGTCACTGGTGCATTCACACAACCCACCCACCAGCCCCACTGTGTGTTGTGAGTGACCTAACATTGGTATTCATTTCTTTCCCTTTGTTTCTACCTCATTTTTCCCTTGTACTATACTGCTTTGCTGAATGTGGCATCAGTATTATCAGTCTACCCCTCTGTTCTGAGGCCACCTGGGAACTCAGGGAAATGGCGGGAACTCTTCCCTTTTATAATGGACACCGGGGGGTGGGGCGAGTTCCCACCAAAATGCTCTGAGTTACAAAATCTTCCCAGTAACAGACTCCATACAGGCTCAGAGACCCTATGTGTGATGCACAAATGACCACTCAAAGAATGACAGTTACATGTAAGCAATATGCCTTTGTCAGGCTCTGGTGGGATAACCATTCATGGGCCTGTTTCTCTTCTTCCTTTGCGTGCTGCAAGCTGTAGGATGCATTAGACCTACTGTCCTTGGAGTCAGGCAAAATCATCTATTCTGTTGTCCTTAGCTTCATAGTGATAAATTAGTGTATTTGTCTCATGCCAACCTTCCTAGAAGAGGTCAAATTGGTACCATTCACTCAAGGCTTCTGTGTGGCAAAATGGTCTTGGCTCTTGAAGTTTGCAGTATAGTTTGCAGCATTGCAGCACCATATCAGATATTTTGCTGTGTCTTAAATTTGAGAATTGAGGGCCTCATTTAAAATTGGAGAGTCTCATTTAAAAAGCAAAGGAGTCTGTGGCTGAATTCCTGCTCTGCCTGAGCTTCCAGTGATTGGGAATGAATGGTAATTGTTACTCAATTGTGAATAGGAGATGTCCTATTTTCTGGGGATCACAATAGTGAGTAAGTCCTGGGAGGGGATAACAGAAAAAGGTAGGTGACACTTGTTTATAAATTTTGGGACATTATCGACCTCCGAGATAAAATGTGCTAATTCTTACATATTTTGATTATATGAATTAGAAAACAGGTGAAAAAGGTGCTGGTTGGCTAAAGTTTTCAAGATATTTCACAATAAAGATTTATACAAAGGCGAGTATATTTGCTTACAAGGGAGGGAGGTGTCTGATTATCATGATGCCTCGTAACTTCTTGACAAAGTAGAACAATGAAAATGGTACCACATGGAAGTGTATAAATTTGTCTTCACTTTGAGACTAAAGATTATTACCTAACTGTAATTTATTGTTCTTTTATTGCAAGGTAAATTTGCCCTGGTCAGATCTACGCATCATACAGTTACATCTGGTGGCTTATGAAAGTGTCATTGCCTAACATTTCCAAGGAACAGTTGCTCCCTCAGAAGAAGCCAATATGCCTCAAAACTGTGTAAACAATGCAGATAACTTGCTACATTTGTGGCAAGGTTATATTTGCATCTTAAAAGTGCACTATGCAGTGGTAAAAAAGGCATGCCACCTCTATTTTGGATGCAAAATAGGGGATCAGGACAAGTGTTGGTCCCCTCATTACTGTTGCATTACATGCACAACTTATCTGCATCATTGGCTAAACAAGAAGAAAAAGTCCATGCCTTTTGCAGACCTAATGGTGTGGAGGGATTGGTGTGGCACCATTCTCATTGCTATATTACATTTTGCAGAAAAGTTATGGAGCATAATCGCACATCCCCCTTGTAATTTTAAATTATTTTGATACAATTTTGACCTGAAACTGTATCTTGGAAACTGAAGCCAATTAATATTCAGGACTTAATTTTCCATTATTAGTGACCCAATCCTGGTAAAATTACACTACTTTCATTTCCGAGGCTTTCTCCTTGTAGACCAGTGTGATTAGTGAATGGCTATTGTTGGGAAGTCTGACTTGCTTTGTGTCTGATCTAAATCTAAATGATAGCTGGCCTCTCAAACTTGGGATGGCTCTATTTCTGAACTTTGCTCTGTGAGCTTATCTGTAGCCCTAAAAACCTGAGCTTACACAGGGCTGAAAGTGAAACTAACCTTCACTGGTATTTATAAGCAGTCGCTCCTGCTAGCTAGGCCTGCACAGTGGTTCTACAGAGTAGAGATATGTATTGCTTTCTTCTTGCCATCCCTTCTAAGCTTGATTTGAGTTTGCTATGGATTGGTTTAGATGTGGGCTGAAAGAACTGGAAGTTCCTGCTGGCTTTTTCCTTTAGAATTTAACTTCAAACTGTAGGTTGGTGGTGCTTTCCTTCTGCCTTTCTAAGCCTGAGTTTAGTTTACTATGGATAGGTTTAAATGTAGGCTTCAGAAGAACAGGAGGAAGGTTTATTATCTGCCATCTGTGCATGCTTTATGCTCTAAAAACTTCCCTTGCATGCATTATAGATGACTGGGACTGGTATACAGTGGTACCTCGGCTCACAAACGCCTCAGTTCACGACCAAATCGGGTTGCAAACAAAAATTTCATAAACATTTTGACTCAGATCAGGAACGCCACATTGGGTGGCGACCGTGAATGCGGCCATCCCCCCCCCCCCGAGTGGGGAGATGGCCAGGATCGGGCTCGTCTTTCCTGCAGGAGTGCGCCTGTGATTGCGCCCATCTTTTCTGCATGAATGCAACCACGATCTCGGCCATCTCCCCCCCCACCCCAGTACGATCATACCCATCCCCCCCCCACCCAGCGTGCCAGGATGACGGGTGCGTGTAGGGATGACAGGCGCAATTGAAGTCGTGCTGGGGGGTGGGGAGATGGCTGGGCTCGTGCTTGGGGTGGTGGGGAGAGATGGTCATGATCTTTGTTGTTCTTTGTCACTTTGCTTCACATTTTTCTGATTCAAAAAAAAAAATAGTTACAGAATGGATTAACCTTATTAACATTGAACCTTATGGGGACATTTGACTTGGCTCATGATCAATTTGGGTCACAACCAGAGTCCTGGAATGGATTAAATCTGTGAGCCAAGGTACCACTGTATTTTAAACAAATGGGTCTGCTACCACTCCATCTAATTTGGGGCTTTGATTTAGAATTGTTGAAAGTCAAAGACTGGTTTACTTAGGGTAATAATGATAGATGTTCGGATTGTCTGATGATTGATTGCAGCATCAAGTGGTGACTAGCATATGTAAATACTATAGTCTACCAGATCAAGCACCACATATAAAGCTTTTTTCACCTCAGATGAGGTTGTTCAGTAGAGTCAGTTAATTCAGCAGTGGGTAATCAAAGAATAATTGTGTGTTCTTGAGCAGAGAATGTTGCATAGCTATGTTGTATGGATGCATATTACTATATAGATAAAGAAATCAGCAATTATGACTTTCAATTTCTTCAGCAAATACTCTTGTTTGTCAAAATATAGGCCAGTTATCAAAAGCAATACAACAGTGGAATGCTGAATCAAGATGCTGCCCAGACATTAATAGGTGCAACAGAAAGCTATGTTGATATTGAAGGAAAGTAAGTGTTTCATTTTCTTCAAAGAAAAGATACTGACTGGTGATGTTTAAAAATTACACATACATCCTTGGAGCCATCTGTGGGGATCTCCCTGTTTCCTCTTCCTGTCTATCCTCAGTCCTCTAGAGCAGGGGTCCTCAAACTTTTCCAAAAGGGGACCAGTTGAAAGGTGTCTGCGGTGGGTGTGGGCTGCCAAGGCGGTGCTGGCGGGGGGAGTGCACGCAGCAAGGTGGGGATGGGGGATGCGCGGGGTGAGGCAGCCGCTTGCTTGCGAAATTGTTTCTCTGAGCGAATCCAAACCAATCTCCCTGTGAGCAAGCTGCATGCCTGTGCGCATGCACACAGTGAGTGCAAAACCTCTGGGGCAGGCCGGTTAAATGGGCGTGGCAGGCCACATCTGGCCCATAGGCCGTATTTTGAGGATCCATGCTCTAGAGCAAATTTGGGAGTACACAAGCAGCAAAACCAGTTCCACTAGTGGATGGATGCAGTTGGATCCAACCTATGATTTGTTACATAATTATTTTAGTTATAGCATGCACCAACCAGCAGATCAGTTCAGCTCACGTTTTGATGATTCAGTAAACAGAGTGATTTGACACAGGCTGACTAGGAGCCCACCTGATCTGGCCAGGGCCAAATCCAAAGCTTTGTGCCTTCCACTTCCTATCATTGGAAATTCAGAAATGACTCCCTACTTTTTTATTTTTTAACAGAATGGGATAAAATGTATAAGCACAGTAGATCCTGATTTGCTCCAAACTATTCCTGCCTACAAATACTTAATGTTTAATTGGATGTGGGTGGGGTAGGATTCAGTTGGGCATGGATTCTGCCAGCACCAGCTCTGCCTCTCTACTTATACCTCTCCCTAGGAGCACCATGTGGCTCATCACATTTGATAGTTTACCCCTATATTTGACAAGACTCCTGGATATCTTGATTAGCAAGCTAGCTAGGTATAGGTTTGATGGCACTGCTACTAGGTTGATTCACAGTTGGCTGTCAAACTGTACTCAAAGAGTGCTTGTCAGTGATTTTTCATCAAATTGGGGGAGACATCAAGTAGAGTGCCACAGGATTTGGTTTTGGGTCCTGTCTTCTTCAATATTTCTTCAATATAGATGTAAAACATCTCAGTCCAAACAAATCAGAAAAAAATGAACTAATGCATATTATGCTAAAACATACAAGAAGCACAAAATTCAGGTGAAAATTAAAACAAAGTGCTACATGTATACATTGGGTGGGGTTCTCCCACCCAAAGAACCCTCCAATACGTATTGTGAATGGTACAAATTAATTAGATGGCAAGACAATCTGCAACCAAATATTTTCTCACACATGATAAAAACACTTGCTAGGCTTGAACTAAAAGGAATTTCAATTTATCAATTGGCATACATAATATCAGTTGTATATGACAGGTATATAAGAAGAGAGGGTGAACAAAGCCAGGAAGGCTGTATCAAATTGAAACATGGTTAAATGTACAGAGCTTGGACTTGGGGGCTCTGTCGTCTGACTGACAGGCATTTTTCACACTATTAGATTAGCATTAAGATTAATTGCTTTCTTTGTTCCAAATATAAATGTTATAAGTTGCAAGAATGGTCTCTTCCTACTTTTTGCTGTAACTTCTCCCATTCACAGGAGCAGAGTTGACATATGTTAGATGTCTGGAAAGTTATGTGGGGTTTTATTTATTTATTTTTAGTATTCAGAGGCAAGGAAAATCAGGCTTTGTTTGTGACCTTTTAGGGAAATGCTCTGGGAAGTAAGCTTTCTGTTTTCATCATCTGCATGTGGTTGAGGGAATGCATTTTTCAGGCATATCAGTCATTCAACAAGTGTCTGTATGATGGAATGAGAACACATGTATTCTGAGAGGTGGCTGATTCCACTGTATTTATGGAAAGTGATCTTATAGAGGACAGTCGCAAAGTGGTTATATGATCTTCTGAGCATACATTTTCAAAAAAACCTATAAAACAGATAACTTCTGCATTGATAGGCTTTGGCAATAGGTTTTGCAAATAGTGGTAGTGTAACTCAGCCTGGTACCTGAAAGACACACCCCTCCCACCGCTGCTATATATATTGCTCCAGTATATCCCGAAGTATAGAATGTCCTCCATGGAGCTCAGGGAAAAATTGAGATTTATCTTACTGTCAAAGTATTTCCCACCTCTCTCTCAGGATCTGTCATTCATGTTCTTTAGTTAGAGGTTTCTGCCAGCATCCAACATGTTGGGAAAGTAAATTAGATTAATTTAAATTAATTGAATTAGTTAAATTACTCTTCATATTCCCTGTGGGATTTTTGTATGACTGTGTCTCTATGTATCTCTCTGTGCAGACTTGCCCTTTTTATATTTGTACATCATGTTAATATTTGATAATCTGTGAAGACTGATTATGGATGGACTTTGTTTCTGCAGTGGGGTTTGAGAGGTGCTCTTAATTTTCATTATGCTCTAGGAAGCAGGATGGCTTTTCCTCCTAGGGATGGACTCTGCTTACAACCTCTGGTCGGCTGTGTCATCCCAAGGTGGAATGCCCTCAGAAATTAATGATAATAAAAATCCCATTTTTTTCAAGGAGTTCCAAGAATTGGTGGGTGGCTATTGGGTAGCATGCTCTCCCCCACTATCCCATGAAATATTTTCTCTGGTTCCAGTTAAATACCTTTTTATTTTGTCAGGCTTTAAAAAAACAGGCACAAAAATTACACAGAATTCAGCTTGTTTTCCTGATCTTACATTTTTCTTGCTTCTTTGTATTAAGTTTTAAGTAATTTAGTATTAGAAGCCACCCTGATAAGTTTTATTAATGACCAGGATATCAGTAAACAAAGAATAATTTATGTCTGAGAAAATGAGTTCAGAATTGCTCTCTTCTCTTTTTTATAAAGCTGCTGCTTTGTTATCTGTATTCTTAACTTCATTGAGAAGCAAAATAATAGCAGATTGATTATTTTGATGATTACACTGTATTTACATGTTAGCTTCTATCTTCAGTTATATATTTTATAAATGTTCTAGATTTATGAATATTCATGAAGTAAAGACATATTGGGAAAGCAAAGGAATACTCGTGATAATGAAGAAGTGGCTGTCTGATTGGGTTTACAATGTGAAAGATGAAACTTTCAAGCCACCAAAGTTAGTATATAATGTTTACTAAAATGTGAATACAAGAAAACTTAGCATGTTAATGTAATGAAAATGACAAAGGTTCATATGATCGAATTAATAATGAAAAAGTTGGGCATTTTTGTCAAGGCCTTGTTGGGTTGTTGGTCCTGTGGAATCAAATATTCAGGTTTATAAAGAGTCAGCTGTCAAATAAGTTGGGCAAGAAATGAGAAATATAGGCCCAGGCAGTCAGAAATCGAAACTGAAGATTGGTAAGCAAAAGATTAACCAGACATGGTCCCATCTGGTAAGACAAGTTGCTCAGGATGAGCAAGCTTGTGAGCTAAATTGGTTCTCAGGACCATCTGACAGTTTTAAGTCAGATTGCAGGATGTATTATAGCAAGGACAAATTCCTAGAGGCCTACAATCTAGCCTGCATGGGTTTCTGAAGGCATGTAGTTATCCTTCAAATCTGAAAGAAAAAATGCAGCCCTGTTGGCATAGGAGCCTGTCTGCTGGAAGTCTTGGTTTTAGAAACTGCCTGGCTGAAGTCCATAACCCCTTGAATGCAAGAAGGGATTAGTATAGATTCAATTAAGATTTAATTATTTATTTGTTAGTGGTATTTCTAACCTGTCCATTACGGTTCATCTCTGGACGGCTTACAATATAAAACAACCTAATAAATCATAATAACACATGACTGATAATTTAACATAATTAAACTATCACTTGATTGATAATTTAACATAATTAAAATGTTTAAACTTTTCCCTGTTTACACTCTTCAGCTCAGTGGTGTGCTTACAGCCCTATGTATATATTTTTTGAAATTTAAGATACTTCATATACAATGTGTTACAGCAGCTGCTTCCTACCTTGTCTCCTTAACCACATCTGTTGTAGTATTATTGTCTTTTCAGTTGTGGCTTACTTTTAAAGACTTGTTCTGAGTAGAAGAGCTTTCAACGTCTTCCACTGGCACATCTCTGTCTTTTCTAGCTTGGGTAAAGGGGCTGAGGATGTTAAAATGACAGTGATAGGTATAGGAAAGGCATTAGAATGCTACATTTGGCCAAACTTCTTTTGTTTCCAAATGTCTTTGAAGCAAGAAGATAGTGTTGGTGAAGCCAAAAAGCCCTAGGAGACTGGGGAAGCCTAGGAGACTGGGGAAGCCAAAAAGCCCACTACTCTCTCTTTCTGCTACTACTCTGTGCCCTTTCCCTTGGACACAGTAGGTGAGTGTCCCATATTTAATTGAGTATGGAAATCACATGTTTCTCAAGGGGAACAGCACCCAGGGTAGGAGATGAGGCAGAGTATGAGTCGTATACTCTCTCTCGTTCCACAAGCTTGGATTCCTACATCTCTTTGACATCTTCAGTTGCTGATGGAGTCTTGCTTTTGTGTCTGACCATGCTGATCACTGGCTATGTGTGATAAAAAGAAGAAATTAATACAGTGTTCTCAATTTTATAAGTAACTCAGTAGTAATTAAATTGACAAAATCTTTTCCCCTTCACAGGAACAAATTTCTGAGGTTTTTTCACCAAACAGTGTTTATGGAGGAATTTGAATATATAAGCACCATGATAACATATTTGAACGTCATACCTATTGTTCTTAACTTTATACCAAGTGTTACTTCATCCTACCTTCCACAGCTTAAGTTGTGCAACTACTATTTTCTGACGTGTTATATATTGGAAGCTTTATTGAAGGTATTAAGTGCATAAAATATTAGATGGCAGTGTTAATGACTTACATTTTTACAAAATGGAATTTACAATTAATTTTGGCAAGGGTTTGTGAAATTCCCACTCTTGTTTTTTGCCAACATGAGGCAAAGAACATACTGCCCCATTTTACTTTCACTACTTTTTCACTACTTAGTTTTTTGTTAGTTCTTTTTCTTAGACATTCTGTTCCTCCCTATTGTTTGAAGAAAGGAACTATTACTGTTTAAACCAAGTTCTATAAAGCTGTGCAAATGTTGATAACCCAGTGAGGCTCTTTGCACAATGGCTTGTTTAAATTGGTTACACATGCCAAACACTATTAACCTAATTACCTATCTAGGCATGGCTTATAGAATTATTTGAAGATTGTTTCCCCTTCAGACCACACCAGATGAGTTATTTGGGCTTCAAACAGGCTGTAACACGGGTTCAGATGACACAAAATAAGCCCTGTCTGGGACAGTGACTGAGTTTACACTGAATGTTCATGTACCTATTTGAACAAGCAGTTTTGAAGATCAAAGGTGTGGCAGATGAGTGGTTTGGCTTATCATGTTGTATAAACCTGGGTGTTGTGGATTATGCAACAGTTTAACAGAGTAGTAAATGAGTGTATGAATCCAAAGTTTAATGCCTTCCACATATTTAATATCAATTTAATTTTTGTTTTTGACAGGCTTTTGCAATGGGCAATGCCTATATCTATTACCACTGGAATCAATTTGATATTTTAATCATAATAATTGGAATTATAGATGTCATAATTATTAATGTCTTTAAGTCACTTGCTCCATCATATCCTATGCTTAATACTATCAGGATATTCAGGATGATTCGTATTCTAAGAGTTCTGCGACTCTTGAAGGTAAACTTAATTTCTCATTATTTTTTTTCAGCAATGTGTTCTTGAAAACTGAATTTGTTCATCTCCCAAAGAGAAAGAAGTTCATTTTAAGTGGGTTGAAATATTTTTTTCATTAATAATGTTCTAGCCTAAATGCATTCAATTATGTTTGGGAATTTAAAACTGTCAAGATAATCAGGTTTCAATCAAGGAGAAGGAGAAAGTATTACACCATTTTCTCATCACCTGTCTTACAGTAAGGTATTATGTTACCAAAACAGTTAACACCAACACTTGCTTTCATTCTATCACACTTCTTTGTTCTGTTGCTCTTTACTTGTGTGCATGGGAGCTCTCCATACAAGTCAGAATGCTGAAGGATCTGAATTCTGGCTGCATCCATGTGGAAGGTTGTCACAGATACAGTGGGTTTTCATCTTCAATTGTGCTCTGTAAGTACAGAGTGACTAATATGTTGGAAGAGAGGGTCAGGAATGGAGTGTTCTTTCTTCTCCACTTTTGCTGCTATCTTCTTTTGAAGGCCTGAACTGGGTTATTGTAAACATTCATTTTGAGAGGGCCCAACCAGTCTGGGATGTAGATCTATTTCTGAACATTTCTTTCTTTAGGTTGCTGTGAGAAATGCAATAGTGCCTCTACTGCCAAGGAAAAATAGGAACCAGGTGGTAAGATTTGTGTAGTCTCATAATCCCAGGCTCCTTCCTGCCAGCTTGTCCTTGCTTTTCACCCAGGCTAGAACTTGTGTGTTAGCTGATTCCATCACTTACAGCAGGCCAGAAATAAGCTGTAAGTACTTTTCTGCAGGTGCCATTGACCTACTCTACTTTGCTGCTACCAGTCAGCATCCAGCAAGGGTCTGATCAGGTGTGGGCATGAATGTCAGAGTACTTTAGTATGCAGATCATGCCACTTTCTCAGACAAACCTGTAATCAGCCATAGATCTCGGAGGAGCAGCAGCAGCAAAGTGACCTGTCAGTTTCTCATTGCACAAAGTAAAACTGAGGAGCAGTAGTGTTTTGGGAAGGGACATGGATGATCTCAGGCTCCCCTTCTCCATCAGCTTCTTCATGCTAAATATGTGAGATGACCATTTTGGAAAGCATTTTCAGATTCATTGGATGTTTATGCCCCTTCTCCTTCCTCCTCATCTCATGCTTCCATCTTCCACTACTGTTCAGAGTCTCTCCCAAGTAAATGGTCAATTTTTTAAAATAACTGTTCTGGAGGAATCAGAAGATCACTTACTAGATAAGCAGAAAAACATAATTGTGCACCACACCCCTCAGACTCTTCTCCCTCTCACCTTCTCTGAAATTTAGACTGAAAAATCACCTCCAATACTCATCTACTGAATCAATAGCAGGCTCTCCTGATTTTCATTCCAGAGTCAAAGGAGCCATCACTTAGGCTTACAGCCTTTGAATCTGACTTGCATTTTCTTCTGTGCCTCTACAGCAAGGGTCCTCAAACTTTTTCAATAGGAGCCCAGTTGAAAGGCAGCAGCGACTGGCGCAGGCTGGTGAGGCAGTGTCGGGTGCGCACGGCAGCGGCTCACTCGGAGATCTCCCAATGAGTCCAAAACCATCTCTGAGTGAGCAAGCCACTGCCTTCCTGCCTGAGTGGCGAGGCAGCAAGAGTGCTCACAGGCAGCGGTGCGGGCCGGATAAATGGGCATGGCGGGCCGGATCCATCCCATAGACTGTAGTTTGAGGACCCATGCTCTACAGGATGCTTATGAGGCAAAAGGGAGGAGAATGGTATAATGTAAAAGCAACAGAGGATGCGCCTAATATCGTAAAATGCAATTTTTCCAAAGCCATTGCCTGTTTTGCCATAAATTCTGTGGAACCAGAGAAATCTCCAGATGATCTGAACCTAAGCCAGCTTCAAAGCCAGTATCACACACTGGCTACTGGAGATCAGTCTATGCTTTATAGACTATAGCTGGGATTAGGATTGGAACAAACCCTTTTGGAATCCATCCTTCCAATATCCATAGACTTCCTCTCATCCTCAGCCTTGTCCTGCAAAGAACAAATTCACTAACACTTACAGGCCCCTGGTTGTGCAGTCTGTAACTTTCCCTGTCAGCAATGGATGTAGAATGCAAAAGAAAGATGCTGTGGGTGGGTGTTCCAGCCAGTATTCCTTGTGCGTGGGAAGGAGGCACCATGATCAGGTGCACCAGGCGTCCTTCATGGAGACCAGCCTTTTTTCCCACTCATTGCACCAGTGCTGACATGGTTGGGAAAGAGGCACCATAAGTAGGCACACCAGGTGCCCTTCCTGGTTCCCACTCATCCCTGTTTACTGCTGCTCATGACTATGTATGCAGGGGAAAGGGCCACTGCTTGCGCAGCATGTGGGGCTCACTTGGCGAGTGTCCCATGAATGCTGGGCATGGTTGCCAGGGACTCAGACTCTGGGCCATTGCAAGGAAGACTGGAATCCAGGGATCCAAACACAGGGAATCCAATAGATTACCATCCCCAGATTTCCTGATGATGCGTAACCTGTATCATGGGGAAAAAAGGCTATTCTTAGACAGCAAATGGAGAAACAGAATAGTTTTTTAAAGGCAAAGGCATAAGGCAGAGGTTTATTTTATCTCCTTGTCTCTTCAGTCTGTATGCAAAACATATAAGGAAAACTGGATCAGAGGAAGGAGTGAAAATGGTTGGAAGATACATCAACTAATTAAGATATGCGGATGATACCATATTACTGGCAGAAAGCAGCAGTGAAGTGAAACACTGATGAAAGTGAAAGAAGAAGGTGAAAAAGGAGGACTGCAGCTGAGTATTAAAAATGTGACTACAGAAGAATTACACAATTTTAAGGTCAACAAGGAAGAAATTGAATCATCAAAGGGAGACTGTAGCCAAGAAATTTGAAGAAAACTGAGACTTGGAAGGGCAGCAAGAAAGGGAACAGGAAAAGATAATTAAGTGTAAGAATGTTTTACTGGAGTCAAAGGCCATAACTGTCCACAGTATTGTATTCCCAATCACTGTGTATGGGTGTGAAATCTGGACAGTGAAGAAAGCTAACAGGAAGAACATGATAGTGGAGGAGAGGTTTGCAAAAACCTGGTCTGACAGAGAGTCAAACAAGTGGATCCTAATCAAATCAAGCCAGAATTTTTCCTAGAAACAACAGTGAGAAAAATGCTATCATACTTTGGGCACATCATGGGAAGGCAAGATCCACTGGAGGATATAATCATGCCAGGGGAAGTTGAAGGCAGAAGGGGAAAGCCAAATATGAAATTCAGTTATTCCATAAAGGAGGCCACAGCCTTGAGATGACAAGATCTGAGCAGGATTGTTAAAGACAGGACTTTTTGGAGGGCAGTCATTCATAGAGTTGGCATAAGTCAGGGACAACTTTGAAAGCAGATAAACAGAACAATACCTAACCTCATTTCATTAAGATCTTATTGTAGTGCTACTAAATCCCAATTTCATGTTTCTTACTCATAGTGCACATGGCAAGACTTGTTGCTCGATATCCACAGTGTTTGTACCATTTTCTCTATCACATAAATACTCCCTAGTGCTATTAGTAGGTGTTACTAGTTGATTATTCATTTGCTAATACTTGAGAATGCATCAAGAAGTTAGAAAAGAGATGCGTGCACAGAAGTTTGCCTGTAAAGTGCTTGTGCTTTTTTTAAAGCTCAGTTAGTTATGTACAGGTGTGGATTAGCAAAGGAATGAAAATGGGGGTGGGGGGAATACAGCTCATCCTACCTGTATAAAGATTCATGGAGAAAAAGAAGGTTGCTCCTGTAGCTAGGATGTCCAATGGCATTTGTTCAGTTTCCAATCACAATTCTTACCTTCAAAGGACCCAAGTATCTGAAGGAATGTCTCATTCCACATCAACTGATCTAGACATTAGGTTCTTCCTTGGCAGATGTCTTCTGGGTGCCTTTTCTATCTAAGCTGAAGTGGACAGAACAATTGGGAGAACCTTCCTGACTGATTTGCTTGGTGAACCCCTCTCCCCAGGGATGCTCATTTGGTGTCTACTTTGAGGTGTTTTAGGCAACTAACAAATACTATTTTTTCTCTCATATATTTGTATTTCTGCTGTGGTTTGGTGCTGATCTTTACTGTTGTCACTTGTTCTCATAGTATTATGACAAACTATAGCTCTAGTCATGTTTCGTTGAAGGGTGGTATAAGGACATCTTTTAATGAATTGATATCTCTCTCACTTCTATCCTTGCTATGGTCTCCTGCGTATAACCATTGTCTAGCTATAGTCTTGCACCCGTTCTGTCTCCTCTTGCTCCACCTTCCTTTGATAGCTTCCTCACCATCCTTTTTAACCTACAGACACAAGTGATTTGGTACCATCCTTGGTACCTGACAATTAAGTGTTACAGTGCCTCTGCCTATGAGATGTTCTCGCCAATGTGTTCAAACAAGTTTGTGTGGCTAGATTGTTATCCTAGCAATAGCTGGATATGGTGATTGTCTTGACTGGGTGCCATTGAAGGCCCCATAATGGGCTAGTTTGGTCACTGAGTTTACAATATACAGGGTGAGCCAAAAGTAGGTATAGAGTGCTGATCAGGTCATGGAGGACCTCACACAGTAGATGAATTGAAGCAGTTTATTTCACAAACATTTATTGACATTGGTGCTAACTGTAATTTACATCACAGTGTCAGGAACAGGTTCCAGGAATGTTGCAGTGTTGATTGAGGACTTTTCAAGTACCTAGGAGACTAAGCATGACCTGATCATGTATACCTACTTTTGGCCCACCTTGTAGAATAGATGTAGACATGATTTTAAATATATTGTGTATTTCAGCTTGTAATACCCAAAGTGATTTTCTTGTTGGAAAAACAAATAAACAAACAGCTCACATTCCGGTATGATATTGCCAAAGGATATGTTCAAGGTGAAGAAGATATCAAATGTCTGATTGGACAGATTGCTGGCCATGAAAAAGTTTATCTGGTGAGTAAATTAATCAGATACTTTAATCAGAGATGGTCAGAGAGGAGGAGCTGGGGAAACAAGCTCAAGCACCAGTTCATAAAGTTACTTGTACAGTTCTTAAAACAACCAGCTGGGTTTGACATAGTTCATGTAGGGGGCCAAAGGAGCCAGACGCTATGTTACTTCTTCCTGGTGTATTGAGTGCTAGAATGGCTACTGCCGATTATAGAGGTAAAATTGTCCTGCAAATAAATACTTATTTTGCTCTGTATCTGATATATGTCCTTTTTAAACAGGAAATAAATAAAATATTGGAAAGAAACAAGCAAGAGGCTATGAAGGAACTAGGTATGCATTTAAAGTATATTATACATAAAATGGCTGTGTTACTGGTATTTCTCAGAAAATAATTTACATTTATTTAGTAAAGCTTTCTAATTTTTTTTTTAAATCTGAGACGATTTAAAGTGCTGCGGGTGGTGGTGGGAGTGGTGATGATATGGAAGGGCTGTGCAGAGCCCCATGGCTTCTTGTGCACCTAACTTACCTATGATAAGTTTGTACGCAACTCCTTCATGTGTGGGATTGCACAGAAACCACAAAGAAGTAAAACAAACTGTTTGCCTGTTACTGTGGTACTTCTGCTGCATGCAGATTATAAGAAACATTCTGGCTTATGGGCTTTTTTGAGTCAAATGGCCTCAATAACATCCTGATAGTCCTGTTTCTTGAAGAAGAGGGTCTGAATTAAAGGATGTGCAACACAACAGGTTATTTGAAAGATTGTGATTTTGCAGTAAATATAGACAAAATTATACAGATAATAGTGCTGGTTTCTACTATTTCCAGATCCCTTAGGGAATGCATAGAGTTGGTATATGAAAACCTAAGGAAGAAGCCTCCTGTGGGTACCATTTCTCACTCTCTCAGAATAGTGGCTCTTCCAGCTGCATTTGGAGGCAGTATATCCAAGGAGGAGATTTGCAAAATGTCCAGTTTTGCAGAAATGCATTAATTCCCATTTTTAGTTAATTTGGAATCCCATCCTACAGATAGCTTTCTTTGGGTGTATCCTGAACGCCATGGAATGCCATCTGGAAGCCACATGAGAAAGGGGCATTTTTCACTGTGAATTCTTCCTAATGTCTCCTGGAGGGAATACCACCCACTACTGTGCATTCCAGTAGAACAAGATTTTCTCCAAAGGCTTCTGTCACATTGTATGCATGGAGGAAGTAGATAGGGATTCCTAGGCAAGTTTCATTCTGTCGTTACAGACATTATTACAGTTAGGTGTTCTATGCTCGTTCTTTTAAGCAGAAACTGTATTGAAAATAGTTTTAATTAAGCAGACTGAGGGGGTTTGTCAGGTTTTTTTTCCTGTTGTTCTAGTCCAGTCTGGGAGGGCAGTGAAGCCCCTTCCTGCAAAGAGGAACAACTAATCCTTGTTCAGGGGAAGACTCTTGTATTAAAGGTTATGGAATGTTCTTTGTGGGATAGAGGGAATTCACATTAAGCAGCTTCCATTTCTATTTCAAACCCTATTTAAGTGGGAATAGAAAAAAATGTGTAACTTTAATACAAATTTCATTCAGGTTGTTTTAAAAAAGAAAAAATATAACAAGTTAATTAAATTTAAAAATTATCTTTAAAAATTATTTCTCATTAAAAATAATGAGCCATATTGGTTGATTGGTGTACCTTATCTGCTAAACATCAATAAAGAACTTTCAGGTTTGGGAAAAAAATCTATTCAAGTTTTATCATCCTTCCTTCAGATTCATATAAGTTTGCTATAACAGCATATTCATAAAATATAATTTTCCATTAGTTAGATAGAAGTTTTTCCCCTACTGTCAACCATAGAAACAGTGAGTCAGAAGGGGTCTCCTGGGCCATCTAGTCTGACCCCCGGATCTAGCCGGATCCACTCATGACATGCCTACCATGTGCATGTCTAGCCTATCCTTGAACACCCTCACCAATGGGACCTCAACCACCTCCCATGGAAGCCCATTCCATACCCTTGGGGTCCTAACTGTCAGGAAGTACTTCCTGGCATCCAAATTGAATCTTGATTCCCTGAGCTTTGCTCTGCTGGAGCGCATCCTGCCCTCCTCTGCAGGGAAGAACAGGTCTCTACCCATCTTTATGTGACACCTCCTCACATACCTGTATGTCTCCAACAGATCCCTTTGGAATCTTCTCTTCTCCAGGCTGAAAAGACCTAGTTCCCTCAGTCTCACATCATACAGCTTTCCCTGCAATCCGGCCACCATCCTTGTGGCCCTACACTGCACTGACTCTAACCTGGCTGTATCCTTTCCTGTAACGAGGGGCCCAGAACTGAACGCAATAGTCCAGTAGTGGACGCACCAGAGTCATATAGAGTGGTAGTAATACCTCTCTTGATCTAGAAGCCACACTTCTGGCTATGCAACCAAGGGTGGCGTTCGCCCTCTTGACCACCGCATCACACTGCTGACTCATGTTTAGCCTGCAGTAACCCAGCACCCCAAGATCCCTTTCACAAGTGCTGCTCTCCAGCCACTTGTCCCCTAATCCATTCCTATTCCCCAAGTGCAAGACCTTGCACTTTTCCACATTGAACGCTATCCTGCTGTATCCTGCCCACCTCCATAGTTTGTCCAGATTTTTTGCTCCTCAGTTGTGGCCACTGCCACCGTTTTAGTATCGTCTGTGAATTTGAGCAGCAGACTGTTCACACCTTCTATGTCATTGATAAAAAGATTAAACAGGATCAACCCCAGGACAGAGCTCTGGGGTACCCAGCTTGTCACTGGCTGCCATCCTGATGATTCCCTGCTAATGGTTATCCTCTGCTTCCAGTCAGTCAACCATGCCCATATCCATTGGACAGTGCATTGGTCTATCTCAAAACTCCTCAGTTTCTCAACCAGGATATCATGGGGCACTTTGTCAAAGGCCTTGCTGAAATCCAGGTAAAACACATCCACTGCATCCCCTCTGTCTAGCCACCTTGAAACCTTGTCATCGTATTCCACATGGTTTGTCTGGCAGGACCTGTTTTTACGGAAGCCATGTTGTGTGGCTGCCAGCATCGCTAGGTCTCTCGCTATTATGAGCCTTTCCATTGTTTTGCCTACAATCGGTGTATGGCTAACTGGTCTGTAATTCCCCATGTCCCTTCTACTACCCATTTTGAAAATTGGGACCCTGACGCCACCCTCCAGTCCTCTGGAATTTCACCCGTTCTCCACAAGGCCTCAAAAATGGAGGCCAGTGGGCATGAGAGAACCCGTGTCAACTCTCAAAGTACTCTTGGGTGTAACCTGTCAGGGCCCTGCCCCATTGTAACATCCAGTGCCCTGAGGAGCTCCTCAACTTCTAGGGGGTGACTCTAACCTGTGCCCCTAAGTCCCCAGCCTCATCTAATCTCTCATGCAGATCTCCCCCGTCCTGCTTTGGGGAGAACACAGAGGCAAAATAGTCATTCAGCATCTGTGCCTGTTCCCTCACATTAATCGCTGGATCCCCTTTCTCCTTATTTAGCGGTCCCACTACCTGTCTCCCTGTTCATTCAAATGGATGGACAACTTTTTAGGAAGTGAAGTTACTTATAACATAAATAAATTATGTGAGGGATTAGTATGGTAAACAGTTAGCTCTAAATACTATCTTCCTTGAATGAGAAATAATTTTGGTATTTGTTTTAGGCTTAATGCAACGTGATTATCCTGATATTGTCACTGCAGTGAAAACCAGACAAGCAGTCCAAACAGTGTTGAATACAGCTTCTGAAACACTTAGGTTTATGATATCAGGAGGAATTGTTGATAAAAATGAAGGAGCAGAACTGCAGAAGGTACTTTTTGAAAAGCAATCCATATGTATATTTATATATTCGTGCATATATAGTGAGAAAGAAGTTTTGCTATTGTAGAAGAGATGTGCAATGAATTGCCCTCCCAGTATTGTCAGTGCCCAGTTGCATAAGCCCAGTCAGCAAAGCCAGGGGTATGGGATGATAGGAGCTGGAGTCCAGCAACATCTGGAGATTCACATGTCCCCCTCCACTGTGATGAAACAGTGTTCAAGACACATTATTTATGCCTATTATGCATGCATTTTCTGGATTCCAGCATTGTAGGAGGCTAGTGTTAAGAAGTGAACCTATGCTACATTTGACCTCAGTACATTTGTTGATCAAGAGAAATGTGGAAGTAGTGGAAAGCTGTATGCGTAATACTGTATTGGTAGTAACAGTGGATTACCCAAACATATAGATAAGTTTCCATATAAGACTTAAGTGTAGTTTGCTCATAGTATTAAGGAAAGATCTAAGATCCTCAATTTTTTTTTTGGCCCTGAGGGATGCCCACACTACTGAGTGGTAGATTGGGGTTTATATACACATGCCTGTAGCTCACATATCTCAGTGCACAGGAATGGGGAGGTTTATACCTCCATACTCATTGAAATCAAGGAATGGGTTCATAGGTGGGAAGATGTTTAAAACTTCCCCCTCCACCTGATATAGATTGCTGTTTCCCCACTGCTATTAGTAGCAGGGAAACAACATTCTGAACCGCTTCTAGATTCCTAGGAGATAGAGAAATTAATAGAACCTGGAACAATGTTTTTCCCCTGCTACATAACTGGTGGGGAACAAGGGAGATAAATGGTGGACTGTATGTAGCGCACAAGTTTCCCCCCTGTGATCTAAGCTAGTGCTCCTTGCCTTACAATGCAATGCCCTGGTTGACAGTACTGCCTGGCAAAGCTGTCTCCCTAATCTATTATCTGTTATTTGTAATTAATTGTGGATTACCAACTGGCCAACCAACCAGCAATAGATTGGGGTGAGGGAGAGTCAGCCAACAGGGACACATTTTTTTTCTTTCTTCCAACACACTCTCCCTTCCAAGGCCTACACAACTTGGATGAAAATTGCTGGAAAGTGCTGCATATTGTGGGCAGGGAAAACAATCAAATGTACTGTCACATTTTGACTCATTAATAACTAACTCCTCCATTTCCTTGCAATAAGAGGGTGTTGTCTTTCTCAGCTTTGATGTGAGATGCTCCATAGTCATTAGTACATTGACTGTGTGGTACCCCACAGTTTCAAGCGGCTGTTAAATGGAAAAGAGGAAAGTAGAACTCCTTTTTTTCTGTTCTGCCTCACATCAGTTATGTACTGATCAGTGACACAGCTGAATTTCAGAAAATATTTTGTTTACAGGGCATCTCTGGCATTTTCACATCTGGGTTAGCCATAGATGGAAATGTGTTTCTGTGTGTGAGTTGCATTCTTTGAACTGGAGCAAAATTATTTATTTATAATATATGTAATATATATTTGTATAATCAAAAGTGTAAATTACTAATATTAAATTAATAAGTTAAAACCATAAGTTAACTTAATAAGTTAAAAAGAAAAGTTTTTGTCAGGCACATAAAACTGAGTAAAATAGGCGCCTGACAAATCTCCAGTGGCAGAGCCACAATTGGAGTGCCACCACAGAAAAGACCCTCCTTGCAGCCTCCCCCTTAACCTCAGGGAGAGGAACTCGTAGGAGGGTGTCTGCTGACAATCTCAAATCTTATTGTTAAGAGAGCTCTTGTTTGTCCTTGATATGTTTGTCATGACATTTCTTCTACATAACTATTTGCTTCTCATTTTTCTAATTCTACTTTTTTGTTCATTGACTTTTTAGAAGATTGCTAAATCTGTGTGGTTCACAATGGTTTGCTCTTATGTGTATAAAAGCAGTTTAATTGGTACCTAATGAACTAATCTGAGCTTTAAACTCTTACTGAAGTCTAAAAGGAAATTTAATTTTCTATATGAGAGTACTGTTCTTATTTAGATGATTTTAATTAAAAGAAAACAGCTAGCGACACTTCCACCTACAATTGAACCACCCACAGCACAGGATCTTCTGCATAATGTCATGTGGCTACAGAATGACAAAAACCAGATAGAATATATTCAGGTAATGTTTTCATTCCAGCACTTTAAATGTATTCTATGCCCTTTTCACAGACAGCCAAGGTGTGTACAGCCAACACTCCATGAAAGAATGGGATTCCCCCACTTCTCCATTCACCATGTGTTTGTTTGTCTTGCAATGGTGCATTGAACATGTCCTTTGAATGTGCTCTGTGCTGTCAGTATTCTGCATAATTATTAGTCCTGATTTTGATGTCTGGTTTCTGTTTTTTGTACAGATTAATCCAAGTGCACACACAAGGCCTTATGAATGTGGAATTAAAGGAAAATAAGTATTTGTGTGCACCAATTAATTATCATTTCCAAAATGCATCTTTGTTGTTTCCAACCCCATCTATTTCTAAAAATTGCTGCTGTTCCATCAAAACGTTTACTGGCCATCATCCAGTTTCACAACTCAATGACCATGCTAGTGCATTCTGTGCTTAACTTTGTTTTGATATATGTGAGCACTCCATTTACTCCCAAAGTTTTTATGAGGCTAATTTACATCTGAAACCCTGCTTGGGTTAAGAGGAACAGTTTGTGGGGAAAAAATGGTAAGATGATACCTGCCCAGTGTCTTTTTCCACTTACCTATACAAGATGTCCCTGCTCTGTCTTCTATTACAAAATTGTACTGTAAATATTCTGTAATTCTCTGACCTCTCAAAGTAAGTTTTTAAAGAGTCCTTTAAAAATACTTGTAAAATACTTTTCATGTGTATGCGCAAAATGAAGTGCATACTCTATGCTTTGTAATGCTTTCTGTATGCTCTATATGCATTTTCTGTTTTCAGAAAAAAGCAAAAATTCTTTATTATGATTATGGAGATATTATATTTGATGAAGGTGAACTACCCCAAGGAATCCATTTAATTGTATCAGGAATGGTCAAGGTAAGTTATAATTATAGACCAATTACCTGAGAATGTAACTGGTTATGAAGAAGGAGACTTCAATTAAGTTCAGTCTGGTTGCTTTATTTTCCTACTTGACTATGTGTTTAGGTTCTGATTTTTAGGTATTCTGTTGGCTATGTTAGTTTCAGATCTGAAGGATTTTCCTCCCATTTCCTAACATAGTCTAGCAGTGACTGTGAAACAAAAACCAAAACTAAAACAATGCAGAGTCAAGTGTTTTTAGAAAGGATTATAAAAAGTAAGAACATGTTCTTAAAACTAAAAAAAAATTAAGCAAAAGAATATTTTTCAGGCTCATGAAGAAAGATGGAAAAGAAACTTTGGTTAATCTATTTGTTTTCCTTAGAGTTATACATATTCTATTGTTATTACATTACTTTCAGCAAAAATATTCAAAAGTGAATCATGTTTGATATTGGTATGCAGCTAGCTCCAGCATAATTTGGATACCTTCTCTCATCCTGAGGAATTCCTGGAGTGTATATGTCATGCACTCCAACTTATACTTCTTCTGCTTGGGGTTATTTTCTGAATATCTCATCTAACAATCCCTGCTATTCCTGTTCGCTTGATACCTCCTCGAATTTCCTGGAAGGACTTGTAAGATAGATTGATGAAAGAATCAAGATTGAGGACTGTGTGGAATTTATGTTTGCATTGGTTACCCTTGTGGATAACAAAGTATATCTCTAAAACTACACTGGAGTTTGTAACCCTAGTGCACAGAGAGTGTAAATCCCTAAGTCTTCGACCAACAGTAAAATATTTGAGGGCTGAATCACATTATCTGTGGGGCTTAGGCCTGGAACCCTGAAGATTCTATTTGTTAGTTGGTGGTGACAAATCTTTATTTGTATGAGATCTCAGGCATATTGTGTATGCTCTTCAGTATAAAATCATTGCTGTGTTTCACATGCTTTCAAACTGGATTATTATTATTATTATTATTATTATTATTATTATTATTATTATTATTATTTGGAATTCTTATATGCCACCCCATTTGCAAAAGCCTCGGGGTGGCTTCCAACAAATAAATAGCAATACAAATACATAAAATTGGAAACATCCCGGCATAAATATAAAATCAACAATTAAAATAACATTTAAATAAAAAGGTCTTGGCCTGGCACCGAAAAACAAATAACGACGGTGCCAGGCGGACCTCTCTGGGGAGCGCATTCCATAAGTGGAGCGCCACCGCAGAGAAGACCCTCCTCCGGGTACTCGCCCTCCTAATATCTTTCACGGAGGGTTCCCAGAGAAGGGCCGCTGCCGCCGATCTCAAGGGGCGGGAGGGCAGATACAGATGCAGGCGCTCCTTTAGATAACCAGGTCCCAAGCTGTTAAGGGCTTTATAGGTGATAACCAGCACCTTGAATTGGGCCCGGACTTCGATGGGGAGCCAGTGAAGCTGATGGAGGACTGGGGTTATATGAGAACAACGCCCAGTCCCCATCAGCAACCTCGCAGCTCTGTTTTGCACCATCTGAAGTATCCGGACTGTCTTCAAGGGCAGCCCCATGTAGAGCACGTTACAGAAGTCTAGTTGGGAAGTAACCAATGCATGTGTCACTGTCACCAGAGAATTGTTCTCCAGGTAGGGACGCAGCTGATGGATCAGCCGAAGCTGAAGGAAAGCGCTCCTCACCACCACTGTCACCTGAGCTTCCAACGACAGATCTGGGTCAAGGAGCACTCCCAAGCTACGAACCCTGTCCTTAAGAGGGAGTGCTACCCCATTCAGGACAATTATTTATCATAATTGTTTTCCCTCACTGAGAAAGAGAAAAAATGACGACATTATGTGAATGACACGCATTCTACCTCTCTTAGGAAGGCTGTAGGATTCTTCTAGATTCTAGAGACAGTTTTGAGATGGATTAGGGTGAATACGCTGAAACTTAATCCAAACAAGACTGTGGAATTGTGAATGGGGAAGCTGGTTGATTTAGATAGAGGGCAAGACTAGTCTTGGTTGAGGATGCACTCTTTTTAAAGGACTAAGTTTATAGCCTAGACATTTTCTAGAACATAGTGCTGTTTGTGGAACCACAAGTGGCGTCCATGGCCAGGATTGCCTTTTACCTACGTAGCTGTTTTGCCAGTTGTGACTCTAGACATGACTTTGGTGTGGTTGGTCATGCACTAGTCACATCCAAGTTAAACTATTATAATGTGTTTGGCCTGGCTGTTCAAGATGGTCCAAACACCTCTGCTAGTCCAAAATGTGACTGCTCAGTTATTGATAGGAGCTGGGAAATTCTGTTCAAATTTCGGTGGTTGGCAAAGGATTTCCAAGCTCATTTCAAAGCAGTGGTTTTAATCTATGAATCTCTAAATGGGGGTAGATTAAGGACTACCTACGTCCATATGACTGCTTTGACATAAAGATCTTCTTAATTTGTTGAGTTGCATGTAAGATCAGTCCAGTTGGCAGGAGCAAGAGAAAGGACTTTTTGGTGGTTACCCATGCTCTGAAACTTGATGCCTCCTGAAGTATAAAAGGGCTCAAGTGTGGAAGGGCTTTAAGAGCGTCTTGAAAGTTCACTTAGCTTTGGTTGCTTTCCCTTTTAAATCTAAAAGAAGGTTTTTAGCTTTGTTTTACTACTGTGTGATTTACGAGTCCTTGGATTGTATCAGTGGTGTCCTTCAGGGTTCCATCTTTTATCCTATAATAAACCACTTAGGATGAAACTGCTGGAAGAAGTTGTTAGGAGTTTGGGGGTTCAGTGCCCCCTGTACTCAGATAGCACCCTAGTTTGTATTTCCTTTCCATTTAAATTCAAGGAAGCTGTTCAAGTATTAAATTAGTGTTTGATGTTGGCAATGAACTGGATATAATCAAACAACTTTAATCTAGGCAGGACAGAGGTAGTCCTGTCAATAGACAGATAAGGGCTCAGAGATTTAGCCTGTCATGGTCTCACTCCCCTTACACATTTAAGTTCAGAGCTTTGTGTACTCCTTGATTTGCCTTGAATGTAGATATCCAGGTTTAAGGTTCCATGTGCCCAGAAGTTGGTTTGCACAACTGAAGTTGATATGTCAGCTGTATCCATTCTGAAGAAGTTAGGTCTGTCATAGTGACACACATTATGTTTATTATGCATTTATTTAATGTATTTTATTATCCTGTTCAGCAAAAAAAGGTTCTTGGAGTAGCTTACAAAGAATTAGGGGAGAAAGTGTCCTTGCCTGCAAGTTTACGATTTGACAAGGTACCTACTTTTTAAGACCCTTTGAAGAGGATCTTTTGTGTTCCACCAACATTAGAAGTGCATTTGGTGGGAATTCAACAGAGCAACTTCTGCCAGCAGGCAACTATGCTTTTATTCAGAAAATTTGGCTCTTACTTTGCTGTAGTAGATTTTTGTCTTTTGGGTGTTTGATATGTTTTAAGTTGATTTGCTTTTATGCTTTAAAGTGTTTCAAAACCTTTTCTCACTTGGCCAGGTTAATGCAGTTGCTATTTCTGGCACAAGAGTATGGGCAGGGATCAGGGATCCCAAAGAAAGGACCTGTAAAGCATCCCATTAGATCAGGTCCTCTTCTGCCTTGTTGCCAAGAACATTTTAATCACCTACTTGCGTTGTTGCCATAGAGGTTGGTTCCACGGCAGCCTCTCAGAAACACTGAGAGCACTGTGTTTGGGTGTTGACATCATGAAGTGTCCTGCAAAATATGAGCCAATGGGAATGTTCTGTATAGACACTTCACTGATATTATACTTCCTTGGGATATGCGTAAGGTCTGAGCTGGTACCCTACCTGTTGGGAGTGAAAAAGATAGCTGCTCTTGATGCACATTAGAATCATAGACTAGTAGAGTTGGAAGGGGCCAGAGGGGCCATCAGGTCCATCCTCCTGCTCAGTGCAGGACTCCAGGTTAAACCATCCCTCTCAGGTGGCTGTCCTGTTGCATCTTGGATGCCTCTTGTGTAGGAGAGCTCACAACCTCCCTAGGTCATTGGTTCCATTGTTGTACTACTCTAACAGTGAGGAATTTTTTCCTGCTATCTAGTGGGAATCTGACTTTCTGTAACTTAAGCTTGTTATTCCATGTCATGCACTGTGGGAAGATCAATAAGAGATCATGGCCTTTTTCTTTGTGACAGCCTTTCAAGTACTTGTAGAATGCTGTCGTATCGCCCCTTAGTCTTCTCTTCTTGAGGCTGAACATGCCCAGTTCTTTCAATCTCTCCTCATAGGGCTTTGTTTCTAGTCCCTGAATCATCCTTGCTGCCCTTCTCTGAACCCTTTCCAGCCTGTCTGCATCCTTCTTCAACTGTGGTGCCCAGAACTGGATGGAACTATTCCAGGTGAGGCCTAACTAGTGCTGAGTAAAGGAAAACTAGTAATTCATGGGATATGGGAATGGTACTTGTATTAATGCAGCCTAGAATAGCCTAGGCCCATTTTTGTAGCCACATTACATTGTTGACTCATATGCAGCATGTGATCTACAACAATTCTGAGATTGTTCTCACTTGCAGTATTGTTGAGCCAAGTATTCCCCATATTGTAAGGATGCATTTGTGTTTTTACCCCTTGGTGCAGAACTTGGCATTTGTCCCTACTGAATTCCGTTCTGATGTTTTCAGCCCAGTGCTCCAGCCTCACTTGGAGGAGGAGTCTATTGAAATGCTTAGTGTGGAAGCACTCTGTCAGACTAAACGTGTTGTACTCTATACAGTAAATTATGATATAACTTCTGTAGCTCTCCTGTTCTCAGAATAGGCCAGCAAAGTGAATGAGGAAGCTGGAATTACTTCCTTTACAAAGCTTTTAAATTGCCACTTACATTGCATGAACATGAGCCAGTGTGGTGTAGTGGTTAAGAGCACAGGACCGGGACTCAGGCAACCTGGGTTCTCGTCCCCGCTCAGCCATGGAGCCAACTGGGTGACTTTGGGCCAGTCACAGACTCTCAGCCCAACCTACCTCACAGGGTTGTTGTTGTGGGGACAAGATGGAGGAGGAGAATGATGCAAGCTGCCTTGGGCCCTTTGCAGGAAAAAGGCAGGATATAAATCAGAAATAAATAAAAAAAATGTGGATTCAGGAAGGTATGAAAGCAGAGGATTAATCATTTCCCAGTTCCAAATATACATTATCAATCTGTTCTCAGAAATCTCAGGAATTATTTTGATGTCAAAGTTGCTGCTCAGGTCAGCATGGGGTGGTATCAGGAAAGCAGGTGATACAATTGAGTTTTCTTTTTAATACTCTGTCATATTTCTGAGTAATTTCGAATGTGCCTAAACAGCAATCAGAATCTTTCCCAATTTACCTGAATGATCAACCTATCTTTACTTTATGTGTGTACACATGTGCAAACATTCGTGTACACATATAAATGTAATCCTTAGAAGATTGGGTTTTTTTGGTTTGGTGTACCCCTGCCATGAGGCTAGTAATTTTGTTTCTCACTCATTTGGAGATTTCAGATTAAAAGGATACAGTGACTTAGTTCACTTCAACAAAAATGCTAATAAAATAACAGAAATTTTCATTTAGAATTTCATCACCTGCATTCTCACTGTCCCTGTAAAAGTTTTTCCCCTTAGCTTTTCTAAATTCATAATAAAGAAGGTTATGATTAATTTGCGGATAAAGTAACCTTTCTACAAATGTATCCTATTCAATAAATGAACAAGCTGCTTAGACTAATTAAAGTAATGTCATCCTGTGCTCAAATTGCTTGTGCTAATAAGGCTAATTGGTAACAGAAAGCATTAACAATGATTAGTCATATGTATCTAATGTCATCACCAGTGCCTATAATTGGCTACATAGAGGGAATTGTACATCTGCTTTAACTCATTTGTTTTCTAAAAATTATATTTGTTCTCATATTATATGAAATAGATTCTTATGTATTAGGTTCATATTCTGTTCACATTGATTGAAATAGACAATATTGTTATTTTGAAATATGATTGGCCGAATGTTCAAAAAGTCAGCATTTTAGAAAATATGATCACTCAAATTAGGATTAAAAGTTTAAACTCCATGTAAAATAGGCATCTGAAGTGCTTATTCCACCCATCAAAAGTGTTATTAGTCTCAGGGTCAAGGTTTTGGCTTGGTCAACCTCAGGAAAAGGATCCCCAAAAGGATCCACTTGACACAATAGTTCTGATCCTACTGAGGATAGGATCAGATGTGCTGGGTTTGTACATCTATAAACCAAAAAGCTGGACCCCCTTTGTTGTCCCCTTCACTGTCAACATTTACATTATGAACATTTTTGTGCAAAGATCTGTCTTTTTGGTTTATGTCAGTTGGTAAAGCACCATGTACAAGTGATGGAGTTAGAGAAAACATTCTCACAAAATATTGTCTTTGTCATGAACTGACTGCAAATCAGTTTCATTTGGTCACCTGCATTGCAGTATGGGATTTCACTCTGTCCACCATCCATGCTCTTCATACTTTTTTTTTAAATACTTATTTAAGAGCTTAATCTTAAGCATGTTTAACAAGAAGAAAATCCTGCAATGCAATCCTATGGCTAGCTTGATGCTGCCTAGATGACCATAAGAAAATTTGGAGCCCAGGTCCAACCTTAGGAAAGCACCCCAAGCTTATTGCTTGTAGTTGGCGTGATTTTTTTTTTTTTTTTTTTTTTTTGCACTGGCTGTGTCTCAGGTCACAACTACAACTTTGGAGCTGGTACAGTAGGGGTGTTCCAGGGATGGGGTGGAGACAAGCCCAAGGATATGAGGAATTCCAGTGGCTCCTCAGCTGCTCTTCTCTATGAGTGAGGGTAAAAACTAAGATGTCTGGAATCAGAAGGTAAGGCAGTCCTTGTCTCTGCCGTCCATTAAAGGATTACAGACAGCCACATCTGATGGTACCTTTAGTAAATTACATTAATTTTGGGGGTCATGTAGTGTACATTTTAGGTAAACCTCTTGCCAGCTCTGACACCAGAGAAGAGAGAGGAGAAAACGAAGTTAGCTGAAGTTCAGGATAATTGTACTCATTTCGAGGAATTAACATGTCACAGAATTTTAGTTCTTGTAGACAGTGTGGTAACACTGCTTTATCTGAACTTGATTATTCAGAGTGGTACCGGTTTAATCTCTTCCTTCAGCATGATCAAACTTCTGATTCAATGGGCAATAGAATACTTGTAAATCCTAGTGGGCACACATATAAATGGAATAGTTAAATGCAAAGAATTCCCAAGGTGCTGTCTTCTTCCAGCCCCATATTTACTTGTTTGTTTGTTTTTTCATAAAGCAGATATGTACCATATTTTTTGCTCTATAAGACGCACCTGACCATAAGACGCACCTAGTTTTTAGAGGAGGAAAACAAGAAAAAAAATATTCTGAATCAAATGGTTTACTAAACTATTTAATAAACTATAACAGAATACAGTAATGCCATATTTCAACCTTCTAAAGTGAACAGCAGTCAACAGTGGCATTAAGAACCATCATCAGTGTCATGAACAAAAGAGAGACTTTAAAGTTTGAGTACTCTTCTAGTTTTCGTTGAACCCATAGAACTCATCATCACTAGAGTCAGAATTTATGAAGCTCTGTTGCTCACAATCACTGACATCACTTTCTTAGTCAGTAGTGGAATTATTGAAGGAATCCACAATCTACACCAGTTATACAAGAGCTGCTGCAGACAATTCAATAACAAATCTAAAAAAGCCAAAAATGTCCACGCGGCCCTACTAGTAAATAATAGAAAAAAACTTCGGACAAAAAATGAGATATTGTACGGTAAATCAAACACACAGTGGACTAAGTAGCCTTTGAAGAATAAACTTTATGCACGAAGGTAATGCTGTTCAAATATCCACTGATCCTAAAAAAAATGTGTCTGATGAACTAACAGATATTGGTCCTTCTATTAACTTAATAAAGCAGGCACCGTTCTGATCCATGGAAAGCTTCCTGATAATTACAGTCACATTCCCCATCACTTCCCCATGGGCTTCATTAAAAGACGGGTTGCCATTTGAAAACACACACCGACCTGTGATTATGAGGAAGTTCACCTGCACCGGAGGGGGGGGGCGGAGCAGGGCGCGCCGAGCGCGTGCCGGCCAGGTGGTGTAGGCGGGCTGGCAGCGTCCCAGGGGTGGTTTTCCAGGTGGTGACAGCAGCAGGTCTTCCCGGGCAGTGGGGGTGGGCAGTTCGTCCCAGTCCGTCTCTCCATGGGGCCGGCTCGGCCACGGCCGGCGGGTTAAAGCCCACGGCTCCTCCTCCTCCACGCCCCTCCCCCTGAGTGGCACAGCTCTCACCTGCGCCAGGGGGGGGCGAAGCAGGGCATGCTGAGCGTGAGCCGGCCAGGTGGTGCAGGCGGGCCGGCAGCATCCCCGTGGTGGTATTACGTGTCCCGGTCCTTGGGCATACCATGCTGCACATCTGACAGACATACTGCACACACATATTCGCTTTATAAGACTCACAGACATTTCCCCTTACTTTTGAGGGGGGAAAAAGTGCATCCTATAAAGCAAAAAATACGGTAATTCCTGTTCAGGGGGTTTTTTTTATTTGTACCTGGCATTCCTGACAGGTGTCCTATTGAGTCTCTGTCCTAAATATTGATAGTGTCTAAATATTTTCATTAACAAAAGTAATATTTCTAATGACAGTGAATCTATATTGTGAATAAGCTATTTACATTTGGTTTTAACATGGAAGTAAAGTGACGGGAAAGTCTGCTTGATTCCTTTATGTCATTCTCTGATAAACATACAGCAGTATGAAAGTGGTGGTAATGATACAGGTAAATGAGCTTTGGAAGCCAGAGGATGATGGGCTAGAGAGCCAAAGGGAGCATGGCAATGCCAAATTCAAACCTAAATGTTCTTGTACAAAGAAATATCTATATCATGATGTTCTCTCATTTTGCAACTCTATGGCAAGAAAAGTAACATATAGTGAAATTCTGTACAATTACAGAAGTACAGGTGTCTTCTTGGGGTTCAGATATAGATATGCTATGGGGCAGCAAGTTCCAGGTATAGTGGTTTGTACAAATGAACCACAAAAACTTTGTTGAGGAAAGAAGGCAAGGAAAATTTGAGCCAGGTCCATGTCTAAGAAGGTTTCTTTATTGTTCTACATAGAGTAGTCAACTCTTGAAGCAAAAAAGGTTGATGGCTTGAGGGAATGTCTTGCACATCTAGATTGCAGAGCAGCAAGGAAGAGAACCTGGTGCACTCAGGTGGAAGACCAGTGGTACAGTGATGGCATTGCAAATGCCCCTATGAGGGCAAAGAAGCCTCTTCAGATTTTGTGTGGGAAGCCCACTGGCATGTACTACATGCACTAAAGTTTAGAGGAATCTCTCCTATGCCTAGTACACATGTATGTGCAACCCATACATGAACAAAATATACATTGTTCCCCAAATAATTATAAGAGAATTCACCTTACTCCCTTTCAAAGAGATTATTTTCTTTCAGCCAGTCCAAAAGTTCACCATATGGTTGCACCATGCAAAATTCAGATAATTGGCACCTGTGACTCTTGTGGGTCATAGTGACAGTACTGTCAGGCTTCAAAGACAGCTATGTACTCTTTACAAGTGTAAATATATATTAAAAGCATGCAAGATATTTCTGTCTTGTGTCAGATTTTACAGACAATGTCAGTTGTGGGCTATGGTGTAAGAAATACTGAAGTATATATTTTTAAGAAAAAAAGTCTGAGCAAGTTTCCTATCTAATAGTGCAAACCAATACATGTAGGTACTATATTTTATGTCATTTTCTGCTAATGTAAATGCTCTTTTTGTTTTATAATTGTTTACCAGCTTTCTGGTTCTGCTCCTCGTTACGGAGTTGATAAAGAAACCCTGAAAGAAACTAATAAAGAAGCCCCAAAAGAAGTTAATATAGATGCTCAAAAAGACATTTATAACAAAGCCCAGAAAGATCTGACTAATCAAAATCAGAAGCGCCATCCAGCATCTTCCTATACAGACTATTTGGTTACTGGTGCCATAATAGGAGAACTCAACTGCCTAACTAAGCAAGAAATGGAATATGGAGTTACTTGTGAAACTGCTGTGCAGGTTGGGAAATTCTTCTTTTCTCTATATTGTGTGAGGTCTATTTTAGGATTATAGAGGAGTTTGGGAGGGTCATCACCTGAAGTATCTAGAATGCTTTCCAAGAATAGGAATTCAGAAGGCTAAGCTGTCAGTGGCTACTAGATATGATGTAATTACATCAGCTCCACCATATTCCATTACTGGAAGCAGTATCATGAGGAACACAAATGAGAGAATGCTGTTTTCTCATGTCCTGCTTTTAGGCTTGCCATAGAGATTTGGTTGGTCACTGTTGGAACAGTATGCTGGATTGATAGATAGGTTTTTGGTCAGATCCAATGCAACTCTTATATTTTTATTAAAATACCCCCTTTTTATAGGCATCCCATAGATGAGAACCACTGTGGTGCAGTGGTTAAGAGTATGGAGTTGGCACTCAGGAGTTCTGGGTTCTCATTCCCAGTCAGCCATGAAGCTCACTGGGTGACTTTGGGCCAGTCACAGACTCTCAGCCCAACCTATCTCACAGGGTTGTTGCTGGGTAAGATTCAGAGAAGAAGGAGAATTCTGTAAGCTGCCTTATGTTCCTTGAAAAGGAAAAAAGGTGGGATATAAATATAATAAATAAAGAATAAATAACACCTGCTGGTTACCATTATGTGCCAAAATTGCTATCTGTAGTTTTTATTACTTTAATAATTCCCCTGGCTGGAAACACAACCTGTTATAGTATAGTGCTACTTTGTTTCTTCATTTCTGCAATGAGGGGAGTGCAAAATGAAACAAAATATTTAAAATCCATTGCATTAATTTCCTACATGGCAGTTTAGAAATGATGAAACAAATAAATAATGGGCTTGGAACTAATAGCATTAGTTCCTAAATTGTTCCTAAATCAGCAACATGACTGACTGATAATTACTGGTGTCTTGAACTTGCCGAAAGACAGTTATTCACCCTTTCAGGGTATCCAGGACACTGATTTTGCATAATACTTGAAACAGGATAAGATTTTATATGATAGTGTTTTCTGGGCTCCAACTGTGGTAAGAACTTCAATTTGGAGGATAGGGCTCTGTAGCTGTTGGAATCCACAGGTACATACACAAGTATAAATTTTCTCACCTTTATGACTCTGGAAATTGTTAGAAGAGATACATTACACTCCAAGAAGTTATGCATAGAATCATTTTGGAAAACTTCTCTGTTGCAATGTGATAGGATTAGAAGTATTACCTGAAACTCAGAGGATACCAGTGGTATTATGTTTTTATTAAAGATTGCTTTTGCTTGGGTTTAAATCCCGATATTCCTTAGATAGAAGATCTTAGTTTTTTTTGCAGCACTGATAAAGACAGAAGTAACTTTATACATACTTAACCTGTAGGAGTTAATCATATTCTTTTTCTCTACCATAGCTACAGTCTGCTCTTAAAAATGGGAGTTTCTTTTCCCCTTTCTCCTCTGTAGTCCTCCTCATGTCCACAAAAACTGCTCATGACCCCCCCCCCCAACACTCCAGAGTAGATTTGGGGTTCTCATGAAAGGCTGCACAAGGAGGTTAAATTTGATGTACTAGAATCTGTTTGACTGACAGATGGATCCTGCTAGAAACAACCCTGCATTTGAATGGCTTCTTTTACTTAACATACTTATTAAAAGTCAATCTCTTGTCTAAATAGAAGTTCTTCGACGTGGCCTCTGTGCATCACACACAGGGGTTCTGCGCCTGCGCAGTGCCTATGGCCGGAAGTTTGATAGCTAATGGTTTGGCGGGAAGCTCCGCTTCCCCTCCCCTGTAGCAGTATATATGGAGCGGAGTATCCACCATTTTCCAGTCTTTGTGACTGCCGTTCATTGTGCTTCGTGCTGCTTCGCTCTTGCTTAGATCGTTTCTTGTGCTCTCTTGTTTTGAACTCTTTCTCTTGTTTTCCAAGTTAGTATTCCCATCTTACCTTAATTGTATTGTTCCAGTTATTCTCTTCGTTTTTTCTTGTTACTATAAAAAACAAAACAAAAAAAAACAAAAAGATTATTTATTCCCGCTATACTATCTTCTTGTTTTTCTGCGATGGCTCAACGAGCAGCATTCCGCAAGTGCGGAGAGTGTGGCTCTAAAATGCCCGCTGTGGATCCACACGACCTGTGCCTCCTCAGTTTAGGGGAGGGTCACAGGACGGACAAGTGTGGCCATTGCCTGGCCTTCTCTGAACAGGCCAGGAAGAACAGGGAGAACCATTCACATAAGCTTCTGTGGGATCAGGCCCTCCTACAATTGGACCGGCTGGTGGCTAAGCCTGCTACAACCTCAGCCCCACCAGACCGCCGTCCATCTTCAGCTGATCCGCCGCAACATCCGGCCCCTTTCTCTGCTGCTCCGCCCTCACACCCTTCAGGCGAAGGTGCTTCCACCATGGGAGAGCAGCCTGTTTCCCCACCCAAGAAACAGCGGAAAAAAAGGAAGCACAGCGTCCCTGAGAAGCCGCTCGTGCACAAGAAGGCCAAAAAAGACAAGGCCGAGAAACCGGCAAAAAAACCGAAGAGACCCGAGCATTCGAAACACCGACACTCGGGTTCAGCAGCTTCCTCAGTTCCTACTGCGATCCCGGTACCGACGCCTTCGGGTCCAACCATTCAGGCAGCGATGAGAGTCACTCCTCCAGCCTCTCCGCGCCATATGGGATCGGAACCACACCAGTATCCACCTCATGGCTCGATCTCTGATGGCAAGATCCAAGATTCTCCAAGGGCTCGGTCCCTGACACCTATGCCACCTGTTGGGCTCGATCCAGGAACCGGGTTGTCCCCCCCGAGAAGCCGGAGGAGCCGGTCTTCTGAAACTCGCTCTGATGACTGGTACCATTCCCGGTACTCTTCCGCACTGAGATGGCCCGACTATCCATCTGTCCGGTATTACCCGGCTCCTAGAGGCCGATCTTCCCCAACCAAACATCGGGATCGACCTCATTCTACGGCTTCGAGAGGCGACAGGCGCGCACCGTCTAGAGAGAACGGGAGATCACAGTCGGCAGGGGATTCCTCCTTTAGCGCTCTGCCTCCATATTGGGTGGACTCGGACGAGTCCGAGGTCGATTCGACTTCACCCGATGCTGCGGTCACCTCACATGGCCCGGCATCACCGGAAGAACTGCACATCATGTTTGCCAAACTGATGTCCAGGCTGGTGAAGTCATTGGAGATTGAGGCTAATCAACAACCTGGCCCCAGCACTGATCACTTCTACGATGTAGTGTGGGGGGAACAATCAACCTCCATCACTTTACCACTTATTACGACAAGCGGTGACCCAACCGTGGGACCTCCCGACGCAACCGCAACTGACCTCGAGAAGATACGAGGCGATGTATAGACTTCGTGAGGGGGACATTCCGTTCCTCCTCCGCCACCCCAAGCCGAATTCGATGGTGGTAGAATCTTCTCAAGGCCGGGAGGCACGGGGCCACACAACGCCCAGAGATAAAGAGGGAAGGAAGATTGACTCCCTTACGCGCCGGGTCTGTACAGCCTCGGGACCCAGCCTAAGAATTTTGAATGATGAGGCGACCTTGGCATGTTATCAATATTTCATTATGCAGCGCCTGGACAATATCATTGCCACCCTCCCAGATAATCAAGGCAACTTGGCGCAAGTGTTCGTAAAGGAGGCAATGCAGGTCACAATGCAACAGCTATCCACAGCTAGGCACCATGTGGATACAGACTCGAGGGCTCCCGTCGGCGCCATCTCTCTCCAGAGACACGCCTGGTTGCGTAACTGCAACTTTCCGGAAGAGATGAAGAGAAGGATCGAGGAGATGCCCTTTGATGGATCCGGCCTCTTCAACGCTAAGACTGATCACAAGTTGAAGAAGATCCACGAGTCGAGGATGATGGCCCGGCATATAGAGATGCAACCTCTCCCTCGACGTAAGTGGTCGTGGACCCATCCACAGTATAGACAACAATACCCACCCCACCAACAGCCACAACATCGCTAGCAACGCCGCAAACAACCACCCCAGCGATTCCCGCAAAGCCGCCGCCGTTTCAAAGGAGATAGACACCAGCGCTGATGGGGCGGGTGAACCTTTCCTTTCCTTCCAACTCCCCCCTCCCCCCTCTCATTTGGGGACGGGCTGAAAAGCCGACTCCCCATTTGGGAGTCCATTACATCTCATGGGTGGGTGTTATCCATCATCCAGCACGGATATAGAATTGAATTCGACATCGTTCCATCATCGAGTCCTTTCGGGTTTACTCCATGCTTGCCAGTATTGTTAGACCAGGTTTATCAACTCCTGTCTAAAGGAGCTATACGTTGCTTGTCTTTATCAGAAGGACTCCACGGATTCTATTCTAGATATTTTACGGTCCTGAAACGAGATGGAGGTCTTCGACTGATATTGGACCTCAGGGCTCTCCATAAATTTATAACACCAAAGAAGTTTTGGATGACCAGACTTCAAAATATCCTGCCGTTGCTGGAGAGAGGGGATTGGTTCGCCTCACTGGACTTGAGGGATGCCTATTTTCATATTTCAATCCATCCATATCATAGGCGTTTCCTCTGTTTCGCGGTAGCTTCTCAAATCTACGAATTCAAGGTGCTGCCATTTGGACTGGCCACTGCACTGAGGGTTTTCACGAAGTGTACGGCCCCCGTCTGCGCATACCTTCGACTACGTGAAATTCAGATACACCCTTACCTCGATGACTGGCTTTTGGTCTCCCAGACTAGAGAAGGACTTAGCTCCTCTGTAAAAATGGCTTGTGACTTATTGCAAGACCTTGGACTCTGCATTAATTGTGAGAAATCTTCTCTTGTCCCTACGCAGACGATCAACTTTATTGGAGCTTGACTGGATTCTACGGTGGTGAAGGCCTTCCTCCCCCAAGACAGATAGTGCACTATCGCTCAACACATCCACTGAATTCGACGAGAAGGAACTGTTTCTGCCCGGTCTGTTCAGAGACGTTTGGGACACATGGCAGCATCCATTGCTGTAGTCCTGTATGCCAAA